GAACTATCAGTCCATGAGAAAAAAGCAATACAATCTCATTGGAAAATCTTTACAGATGACCTAGTTTTCCAAAGATCTCCTAGGAAACGTATTCCAAAAAACTATTCTGGAAATAATGTTGGTTATGAAAACATGCATCCAAGTCTCCTCTTTCGAATGACGAAAACCGCAGGTCTCCATCTTGTTCCTATCAAAAGTTATTCAGAAAACAATCGAGTGCCTTGACTTCTGGAACGGATAGTAGTCATGATGACCATAAATATATATCATATGCAGTCAATGAATCTCTTTTTTTTCGATTCTTTTTGAATTTTCAAATGCAGTAGATCGGCGATCGCATTGATGATGAGCTCCTAAGGATCGATTCAATCTATTGTTATGCAGTATTTTATGAGTAACTAAATGCTGTTTCAAATCAAATTCATATTTCTTATTCCGTCATTGGTAAACTTGTGTAATATTCAGATTCTAAGCACAACACTGACAGCATGTGTATTGCCATAAATGCAACTATTATTCTTCCATCTCATACAGTACACATAAAACAGCCAGAAGTTTAATACAACTCACACATTGTGTCACAAACGACGCTTTCCATTAATACATGATTACGGTCAAAAAACTGCTGTCTAAGTGTTGAAATACTATAAAGTGGCTCACTCTCATGTAGTATATTCTTTATCCCCAACCACACACAGCATAATAAGTGACATAACAGAAAATCTTATATAAGTACAAGAATAAATATCTCCATTTCCTGATTTCCTGGTTGTCTATGATATACATTTATCGTTTTCCTAGAAAAGGGAAACGATTATACTGTGGACGGTACAACTTAGATATTAGAGGAAGATATATGAAAGTGATGGATTTTAGGTACATTTCATGGGTTGGCTAATCGTTTTCTTCGTATTCATCATAAAATGGCTGGTTTACGAAAAGATTTTCTTATATTGGATCCAAGTGATCAACTAAGTATAGTACAACAAATAATAAAAGAATTAAAACATGATTCAACAGCAAAACATTCAAAAGCAACCAGTGATCATGAAGAGCATGTCGTACAACATAAGAAACGTGCTAATACAGATGATTATGAGCTAATGGATGATGAAAAACCAAAATCAATTGTCGGTTATATTAATCGATGTAAAGATGATGGTAAACGGGCATCAGCCATTAATACACGCGATATAACCAATCTACAAGAAAAATTCAAACATAAAATCTATTTTTTGTACGAAAATAAATGTAAATTGGAGCATAAAGTGGATTTTGGTGAATTATTATTAAAAATGAAAGGTTGATAGTTTTGCGACACTGTACTGTTCGATAGAGACGATTAAGATAATCATTTTTTTTTCGTAGAATTATTGGAACAATATCCTGATTTAAGACGTGTCTATCAACAAAAATTTTATTTTATTTTGGTTGATGAATTTCAAGATACATCAAAAATTCAATTTGATTGGTTAAAATTATTATTAAGACCGAAAAATAATGATGAAAAAGCAAATTGTTTTATGGCTGTTGCTGATGATGATCAATCCATTTATTCGTTTCGTGGTGCAAAAGCAGCGGAAAATGTTGAAGCTTATTTGAAAACAATGGAATTAGATCGAAATAATTCAAAACATGTTATTAAATTAGAACAAAATTATCGTGAGTACGTGTGAGTTATGACTTTGTTTGATGTATCAAATTAGAATAATTGACAATTGAAGTCTCTTATTTAGAATATCTGTGTATTCTTAATTATCTTATTATGTCTTATTGTTTTTATTTGTCTTTTAGGTAGTACAGATACTGTGTTACGTGCTGCTAATGCTGTTATAGCAAATAATAAAGCACGATTAGGTAAAAGTTATTATAATGTCTTTTATTGTCATGTTTTTTTTGGAAAACACATTTCTTTAACAATATTTAAATAATTGTTGAAATATGCTCTAACGATGTCATTTGAAGGATATTCCATAATGATATATGCGATAGAAAAGAAACAGAAAGTTTTAAAATATTAAATAAGTTTTTTGGTGAATTTTTTTATTATTTTCATCTCTGATTTTAGGAAAATCATTGTGGACCGATATGAAAAATGGTGAACGTATATCTCTATGTCAAATGGACGATAATATTAGTGAAGCAAAATATGTTGTCGATGTAATTCGAGAATTTAAACAACAAAATTCAACAATACCCTATTCACAAATTGCTATATTATATCGAACAAATGCTCAATGTAAAATGTGTTATTTATTTTAATAATTTTGCTTTTTTATTGATATTTTATATATTTTTTTAATTTAGCTCGTTCATTTGAATCATCGTTAAATGGTGCTGGAATTAAATATCGTATTTATGGTGGCATTAAATTTTATGAACGTACTGAAATTAAAAATGCATTAGCTTATTTACGTTTATGTAATAATTTGGATGATGATGATGCTTTTCGTCGAATTATTAATTTTCCATCACGATCAATTGGAAAAAAGACGTTAGATAATATTGAAACGGGTGTGTATAATTCTTACAGCGTTAGCCACTTTTTGCCATAGCTAATCATTTGATCGAGATACAACAGTAAGATAGAGTTGAATCTAAGAAGAGAATACGCAGTTTGAACACGATGATAAGTTAACTTGAATATTTTTGCGATTTTGCTCCTATGATTACAAGATATACTGTACACTAATTGACAGTTGTCAAATTTTTCTTTTTTCTTTTCTTTTTAGGTGCTATAAATCGAAAATGTTCATTGTATCGATTTCTTAAGATGGATCCATCGTGTAAAAAACAAAAAAAACTAAGAGATTTTGTTACGCTTATCGATAAATGTCATCAAATGGCTCATGATAAAGTTGATCCACCCGAAGAAGATAAAAATGAGGATGATATAATTGAATTAGATGCTGTTAATGGTCAAGAAATATATCGAAAACCAAAATCAAATGCGAAATTACATGAACAAGCTATTTATGTATTTAATCAAGCACAAATAATTGACCATTATAAAAAGAAACATGAAAATGAACGTGTTGATAATATTCAAGAATTGTGTAATGCCATGAGACAATTTAGTGATTTATATCAAACAAATGATTTAAATGATTTTTTAAGTCATACAACACTTGTAAGTATATCTAACAGTGTTTAAGTTAGCAAATAGAGAAAAAAGAGTAAAGTTATATATAATGGTGAAAAACTTGTGTGTATCGAATTCTTATTCTACTCATATACAAATAGACAGTGTTAGAAATGATATGAAATGGTTATCTGTAGAGAAACTTTTTTTCGTATGAACACCATCGTTCTAGTCTAAGGCTCGAGATCTTCATTACTTATAATTTATATTTTTTTGCAGGATAATTCATCACAAGATGGTAAAATTGATTCATCTCGTATTGATGCTGTTCAACTAATGACTGTTCATGGTTCAAAAGGATTGGAATTTCATTATGTATTTATTGTTGGGTTAAGTACGTACGAACATTTAGATCGCTTTTTTTCTTAAAACGCTGGAAAAGTGTTGATTTTATCCAGATTTTTTTTAGATGAAGGTTTATTTCCGTCATCATTTTCTGATACAGATGAAGAAGAAGAAAGACGTTTGATGTATGTTGCCATAACACGAGCAAAACGTGTTTTACATTTGACACATTCACGAAGGCGTATGCATTTTGGTGAATGGAAAAATTGTCAAAGATCCAAATTTCTCAATGAGATTCCTATAGATTTGATACGTCAAGTTTATGATCCACAATTGAACTTTAATAGTAAAAATGATGCAACACCATCACCTCATAAAAAAATGAAAACAACAACGACAACAACACCAATGGCCTTTATGAGTGGTAGTAGTTTGTTGAAGCTAAACAATAATAAGAAAACGAACAAATCATTTTAGAAAAATCACTCTCTCGCAGTTCTAATCTTAAATGGAGTATTTCTAGTCAACAATTATATGTGCATGTGTTATTATTTTTCCTGTCACTTAATCAAATATCACGATTAGAGAGCTCAAATTTACATATCTTTTGCTAAAATTTTTTGTGTTAATTTCTGTCGAATTTTTTTTAAACACATTATAAAACGCGCAGTCAATTAAGCGTATATAGTAGAGTATTTTTTTATTCATTTAAATGTAATAATTATAAAATAAACAATATGATGATCAAATAATTAACTATACTGATTACTCCTTTCTGCCGAATTATCTAGTAGAAAGTCTCAGTCAGACTTATTTGTGGCACAAATACATGTGAGCTATTTCCATAGTTCGGTTGGTCAAGCCGTCCGTGTTGGTAATAAGGCGTGGAATCTATGGAAAAGAAACTAACTGTAAGTTAGCTTGTAATTGTGTATATCTTTGATACTCGTTATCTACATATAATATTAGCTCTATTCTCCTATTCATGACTCAACTGCCATTGGAACAAATTCAGTAGGAGAAAAAGTAAAATAAAAGACTTGTTATCTCTCTAAATACCATGCACTCATTTATATCCGTTTCTGCATCTGTCTTACGAGGAAACCTATCCAATTGATACCTTCCGATTTCGTTCATTCATACGTCGATCGATAAAGGGTATTGAATTAGTAAAAAGCCTAAAATAATTTTTGTCTATAGCTCTTGAAGTCCCGGTTTTCTGAAAAACTATTTTTTCAAAAACTCTAAAATACAACAAAAACATTTCTTAATGAGGCATAATTGTAACCCGCAAATTTCTGATTAAAATGAGACATCTCCCAGCTCTACACGACCTTTCTTTGCAAAGTTATAGAATTTACAAGAAAAGCCCTGAATGTTCATTGCCAGCTCACGAACAATAAGAAGAAATTAATTTAGGGCTTTCTTATAAATTCTATAACTTTGCAAAGAAAGGTCGTGTAGAGCTGGGAGATGTCTCATTTTAATCAGAAATTTGTGGGTTACAATTATGCTTCATTATTGTGACTTAGTGTTAGAAAAAAAATGTTCAATTTACAATCTGCAGATCGAATCTTTTTACGCAACAACATGACGTCAGGCGAGTCACTTGAATAAGATGAAAAAATTTGATAAAGTTTCAACCAAATTATATGGACATCATTATCTCTACGAAATTACATTCCTTCTGCTGAAGGAAACACAAATGAATAGTGAATGTATTACTGGTCGAATATCATAGTGACAATAATATTGTCAGAATAATCGAAGTGTCAATATTGTTGTATCCCATTAGATGATAGACTTACAACTTATGTGAATATTTTATATTCATTTTATGTGAATATTGAAAATGAGACTGCTTATAAAATTAATTGAGATTACATAATAATAAAGATTTATTTTTGTGTGAAATAAGAATCAATAGCCTTCTATTGAAACAATACGGCGAGTCACGACGACGTTTATTATATGACACTGTTAACTGAACATATCAGCAGAACAACATTGTTAGTTTTATCATTTGTAATATAAACAAATCGTTCAACAGCTGTTTGTTTAAGAGAAAAGACGAGTAGCGGTGGTAACCAACAAGTTTTACTAACTTTATTCTGCCGAATTTTTGTTACTATCAGTTATTTGAAATATATGAATAGAACATGTTCTAGAGATGAAAATAGTTAAGATTTGTATGTGCATGCGAGCAATAAGAAACGAACAAACACATTGTTTCAATGAGCTCTATTAAATAAGTTTTATCTTTTCTCACACTTCATATAGTTTTATCTACATACAATATTTTAATAGTTTATTTCTATTTGTGCCATGGGTAGTTAATATTTCAGACAATAATAATTAAATAATCTGTAGTATTTTTGAGACATATTATGTTAAATTTTGTGATATACCTACAACTTTGCAAATCGTATTTGACGTTTGAAACAAATATAACTCAAAACGTCTCGAAATAAGTCAAACTCGAAAGGTATATTTTATTCTATGCTCAACTTTCTGCTTCTTCAAAATAATTATAAAACTCCAATAGAATTCCATACTACAAAGACAACGTCTACAAGATTGTCTATTCAGTCACTTGCATTACCAAGTATCACTTAGAAAGAGAGATTGTCTTCAGATTAGAAAAATTTGAACGATAACTGAGGTGTAGTACATGCTTACTCAGCCATAAGTGGACAACAAAACATTATGAAACTCTAAGTACTATATGGTAAAAGAAGTTGAGAGATTCTTGATCGAATAAAAGAAGCATCTAACTTTTATATTGTTTGTTCTTTAAATCTCTTATTCTGATGAAACCAAATTTCTTAGTACATCATTCGTTTATTTGCATACAAAAGTATTATTGTCGGTAGTATTTCATATACATACGGTCATCTGGTTTCTATTAGTTTGAAAATGAGAGTTAATGTCTATTAGTTTGTATGTAATAACAAAGTGTACAATAACAACGAAAACACTTTATGTATAACGTCATATGGCTTCTTGTCTTTAATCGAGAAGATATTGTTGCCATTGTGAAGTTAATTTTTCTTCTTATAATAAAGACAATTGTATCATCTATTTCAAATTATATTTCCGGATTTTAAATAGCTAATCTCTGACATATACGTTTCAGAGGTATCTTCAATTATAAATTCATAATTAAAAAAATAAATCATCATCACCACGGACACCGAACAAAAAAAAGGGTGTCTATTCCATTTTGAAGCCACAGATTCAAAAAAGCTGCTATTCACATGAGGTTTCACTTTGGATTAGATTTTTTTAGGACCATGTAAAATAGTTGAAAATGAAGAGAGGGAAAGCAAGAAAGAAAAAGAATTCTGACAACGCATTACCTTATTTAACATTTTTGAAGTGTACTTATTTACACGAATAATTGAAATCTTGAAAGAAGATTATAACATCTATAGATGGTGGCATGACGATAAAAAAAAAAGCGAGACGAAAAGAATATGAGCTTCTTTCTTTCTCTTGATACATAAATTTTTACAACTATAAAAAATAAAATTTTAATGTGTTTGTGTAATAATGTGAGAATCAAACATGTGTATAATTCTTCTTTTATTACTTAACGGATGAGTTCAATCGATTCTACTTAGTGGCTTTTATTTTAATGACAAATAATTTATCAAATACCATGCGAACATATTGGAATAAAACTCAAAACGAAGAGATATTAAATAATACAATAACATCCAATCAAGCCTCGTCTAGTAGAAGGCGGTAAGCAAATTAGTCGTCTTCTAAAGATATTTGCCTCTTCTACTTGGAAACTGTTTCTTTTTCATTATAAAACTCAATCTAAATTGAATTTTATTCATTTTTATTTTACACGACAAATATCGATATCTCTTCATTTTATTCGGTGAGTTTTCATGAAAAGAGAACTCTAAAGAACAAATTGAGTCTAATGATTCTCATACCTGATGACAACAAAGCGCAGGTTTCATTCTCAAATCGCCATTGTCTCATTCTTGTCGCGAAACACATAATCTGATAAAATTTTGAATTTTTTTTTCTTTTTATAATTTGGTAAAAAATTTCTTTTGTTGTGCTTCAATGAAAAAATTCATTGTTTATCTTTAGCTGCTGCAATTATTTGCTTAGCCGTTTCATTTTAAAACTTTACACTTTATCAAGTGATGTTTTTTTTAAAAAGAAAAATAGAGCTTATCCGAAATTAAAATATGTAATAAACAACATTAAAAAATTTCTCTAAACAAAATTGATTTGTCTTGATGAGCCACACATTTCATGACAATGTATATTCCATCATTTACTTTCGCAAAGTGCGAATGTCGGCTTCTTACACCTTTTGGTATATCGCGTACGAAACTTAATACTTTTTTCTCTCACATTTTTGCAAAACATTATCAATGGTCAAAAATTGTTGAATATATGTAAAAATGTTTCCTCGTTTAGAATATACTGCTCAAAACTAACAGAATTTTGTTTAAATGATTGAAAATCGCGATACAAGACTAAGTGTCTCAAAAGTTTTATGTTAATCGGCGTGAACTTACTATCATTGCTATATACAATGTTAAATCAATGTACATATTGTATTAAGCAGACAAATTTTCATGCTCTATCGATCTGCCGTATTTTGAATCAGATGTACATGATATTCAATCATAGAGATTAATACTAAAATTAGAATAAAATTCAAGGCTTTTACGTATTAAGAGGAGGCCCTCCTGTTAAAAAAAAGTCGATTTTGAGACTTATACATGGTTAGATAGCACAAAGTGTGTAGTTTTGGACGTTCGACAGTTTTATGCTTGGAAAATGATTTTTTTTAGAGGATTTTAAGAGTTATTTCTAAGGACTCTAACGGCAAATCATTTTTTTTTCCATTTTTTAGTCATTCAGTTTGTCAACAGAAAGATATGCCATATATGACTCTGCACATGTCCGTTCGATACATTATAGTCAATGTTTAGAAGTTCAAACTTGCATATCATCGGATCGAAAAAGTTTAAAAACTTGTTCGATCAAAACTGATTGCATATTCATCTTCTCCATAGTCGATTATCTTGTACGCGATAACTTTTGGATCGGAATACTTTAAAAAGGTTTTTCGACATCGCTTTGTCTTTAATTCTATACAGTAACTTTTTAAGTAAAATCTTGAAAAAAGCTTTTTCTAAAGGACCTCGATCCAAAAGTTATCGCGTACAAGATAATCAACTATGGAAAAGTTGACTATGCAATTGGTTTTGATCGAACAAGCTTCTAAATTTGGTCTTGGTGGAAAATATCGAAAGGAAAAATGTCGAAAAGGAAAATATCGAAAGCGGATAATGGAAGAAGGAAAATATCGAAAGGAAAACGCCGAAAAGGAGGAGATTTCTTTCTGTTCCTTGAAAATCACTGAATGAGATATACGTATTATTATCATTAGAACTACTACTGGTTCTCATTAGACGTCCCCAATCTCGTAGTAATTATAGCCACTCGTCGAAAAAGTAAAGTATGATGAAGTTCAGTATGGCTGCTACGATGAACGCCTCACCCTCATCACCACCCCACTCCCCCCCACCCCGGGGACATCAGTCCCAAAGCTTCTTTTTTTATCGACATTTTCCTTTTCGACATTTTTCCTTTCGATGTTTTCCGTCAACCCCCTAAATTTTCTCGATCCGGTGATATGTTTCGCGTTGTTTAGAAAGTGGACATTGACATTTTTCAGCTTTCTCCTCTATTTTAACCACTATTACGCTTGATGTGGTCTTAAAACGGACAAAAAGACTTCAAGCTCTGACTTTATTTCGTTTTTGATATCTTTAATTATCAAAAATTCACATTTTTCGATAACAGACATTTTATTTTATTTTCATTTACTCGTGCGATACCTGATCAAGATTAAGAGCAAAAATTTTTGTTCAGTATATCTCTGCCATATACACCATCATACTTTCACGATTGTATAGAGTGTAGACTCTTATCTCTCTCTTATTCAATGAAACCGTACATAATTATCTAGTCTACATGAATGTGCATAAATCATTAAATAGAAACATTTCAATATACTTTTGTTAAGCTTCTCTGTATGATTTATTAATTTAATGGCAAATCAATGCAACAGAGAGAGAGAGAAAAGTCCACATTCCAATACAAATAAGACAAGTACTTTTACACATTGCCACTTCTCTTTGAAAAAAAGTGATAAGGTATAATCTTATAGTTAAAAAGCAAAAACAAAAAGTTTTCTGTTCAATTTCAAAAATGTCATACTGCTGAAAAATTTAGCATCCGTGTGAGTTCACCATGTCTAGAGATAAGACTTGAGTGTCTAGTCAAAATGATAAATATTTTCTTTTCTCTAACCGCTTTATCTTTTCTCATCGAACATCACAAATTTTTGCACTTTTTCTTATTCTTCAATTTATCAGATTGATTTCCTTGAAAATGTTGTTTGATAGGTGGTATCTCTTTCTTTCTATAATGAACCATATGAAAAAAAAGATAAAATTTTTTTTTTTTTTTTCTTTAACAAAACAGAAGAAAAGAAATTTAGTTATTTTCATTTTTCTTTGAACCACATCAAACAAAACAACGAGCGGTCTAGCAGATTTTCTTTCTTCAACACATCTTTGTTTTTTCGTTTTAGTTTAGTTGCTTTTGCAAGTACTTGTTTTCCTCCTTTCTCTTTTTAATTTGCTTTTTTTAAAACAATTTTTTTTCTTTTTTTTTGTATAAAAATATACACCTTGACTAAACACAACGGAATATTTAATATTTCTAAAATACCTATATCCGTTCTAATGATAAGAGAATATAATAGTAAAAAAAAAATGATGATGAGAAAAAACGATGACATAATAGAGTCGTTCAGATGTTTAACAAACTATTATTAAATTATTATAATGACATTTTCCATTTACTGTAAATATGATGAAAGATTTTCTGGTTTTTCTCTCATTAAATATTACAGATTTTCTATTTCATGTGTAAAAAACGGTAAATTCATAGTATTTTGGTGATTTATTGTACTATTTCATAAAACATCTTATCCAAATTGACTTCTTTTCATTAGAAGATATATCGTGAATGTTAAGTAGTAAACATAAAAACTTTCGATCAGACAAACGATTATGATGAGATTGAAATTAAAACTTTTTAGAATTAATCAGAAAACGATGTTTTTTTCTTATTCTTCTGAATATAATAAACCACGAAAAGACGCTTTCTTCAATCTAACAGGTGGTATTAGAAGTTAGTTTCTGATAAAAAGACGGTAAGAAAATGTTGACAGAAGATTTTCAGAGGTATTAGAAAACTATATAAAATTTCTAATGTACAACATCTTTGTCTTAAAACGAATCGAGATGTTATAATAAGAATGGGAGAGTAACTTAAATTTTTGTTTTTTTGAATCATCATCTATCTATTATTTTTAATGTTGTTTTCTTCTTCTAAGAGTAGAATTTGAAATTGATCATTGTAACTCATTCATTTGTCTTTCTAGACTTCCATTTTCTTCTTCAAATATGTCGTTAACAACTGATAATAATATTCGTAAAAAATCTTCGGGAAATCATACCAGTCAAAATACAAAATTAAAGCCAACTATAGTAAATGGACATACAAAGAGACAAAATGGTAATAGTTACATTAATGTTGATACGCCAACAACAACAAATGATGATGATGATGATGATGATGATGATACTGATGATCAACTAACAAACGTTCAAACATTAGATGAAACAAATGAAGCCGATTTTACACTGGATACTTCACACAACAACAATGAATTGATAGGAGTAGACAATCAAAATAATCAACAAATGATTCACGAACTTCTACAGTCAAATATGAATTTAAAGTAAATTTAGATATAATTCTGCTCATGAAAATAAATAATATTCTCATTTACTTTATTTATAGACATGAAATAAGAGATATCCGACATCAAATACGCAAAAGTGATAAACAAACAAAATTATATACATCAAAGGTAAATTAAATCATCATCTAAAAACTTCGAATTGAATGCAGATCTTGCTTATTTTTCTGTCAATAGACAATTGATGATCCAGAATGTTCATTCTTACCGGCTAATAACGATGATTCAATAAGTACAAATAACGATAAAATATTAAATAAATACAAACAAGAAGCAAATGTAGGTAGTTGACTTCGGTGCACAGGTATGACTAGGTATACACTAATTACAGATTAGTTATTTTTGACTGTTATCTTGAGACATGCAGGAAAATTTGTTATAATGCGGTTATTAGAAATGGCTTCCAGCTGTGAAATGTCTCGTTTCGTGAAGAAATGTTTAGTCTATCTGTTGGTACTAAATACAAAATTACAGAATAAATGAGAGAAACTTTTTTAATGAATTACTGAAGAGACACAAACAATTATATAACTGATGATCGGTTATCATGTACAGTTATAATATTCTAAATTATTCATGTTTATGTCATGATTAAGTTTAAACTATTTTTTCTTCTAACAACTACTTAGGGCATACCAAAAGTAGTGGCAATGGTACTTTAATTCCTTATAGAAAACTTAAAGAAACTTTCTTTCTATATAGTTTGATAGAGAAAAGAATGCTCTATTTTTCTATGCTAGTTGATCATA